ATAATAATGTGACTTATTATTTAATACAATAATTATACTATACACTATTTGCCATTGAATGTATAAAATGTGTATCACCATTTATAATGATGCAAACTAGAATAATGACATACTTCTTGGTCCTGAGGTATGTCATGAAAGCTAATAAATTGGTACTAATGCAAATTATCGTTATACTAATATGTTACATAATTCATAGAAATTTTGATAGCAATTGTCATAAAAAATAAAGATTTTGTTTACATTATTATTGTAATATTTATATTTATTTTGAATCACAACAAAAAATATGTTTAGTAAAATGTAAGTAGCTTTTTTAATCCTTATTTTTTTTATCCATTTTTTTTAATCCTTATAAAAGTTTGTCAAATTTTAATAGTATTTCGAACATATACATTCTAATAGCATCACCGGTTTACATATATCTTACTTTGTTAGACAATGGAAATGAATTAAACAAATAAATGTAAACTTTGTTAAGATTTTGTTTTAAATGATTTGTTATGGGTTAAAAGATTGGGTTGTTTTGTTTCAATCTAGGTGAATAAATTTGTATATTTGCAGTCATATATATATAACAATTTTTTTAATTGTATATGTTTCTGTAGATATGATCAAGACGGACCGCTTATATATTGGCAATCAAATGTTTACTACCCAGAAATATGTGTACTTTCGGTTATGTTTACAATTCCGTTTCAATTTTTTGTGTACCAATTTCATACCATGTGTCTTCTTTTTAATTTTTTTTCTTTCTCATATTTTAGTTTGTGTACAATCAGCGATACATGCGAAGCAATTTATTTATTATTTTTTTCATATGAAAAAACCCCATTATTTATTTGTGGCAAATTTATTTATATGCCAAATTCCTTTGTTTTGAATATTTTTCGTTTCGTATTTCATGGTGTTGATTTGGTTGATCAAACAATAATTATTCAAAATATTGTTGTTGGTTTGATAATGATATTGGTATTGGTATTGGTACTGGTATTGGTATTATTATTAATATTAATATTAGTATTAGTATTAGTATGAGTATTACGAGTATGAGTATGAGTATTAGTATAAGTATGAGTATGAGTATAAGTATAATTTTATTAGTATGATTGGGATTAGTATTAAGATCATGATCAAAATTAATATTAATATCATGATTAAGATTGGAATTGTGATTAGTATTAATATTAGTATTAGTATTATAATTAGGTCAGTATTACCATTAGTATTCCTATTTGTATTTGTATTAGTATTATGATCAGGATTATGAATAGAGTCATCATTATAATTAGTATTAAGATTAGAATTAATATTAATATGAGTTATAATATTAGTAATGGTATGAGCAATAGTAATACTGTAATGGTAATAATATTAGTATAAGTATTACTATTAAGTATTAGAATTATTATCAATATTAGTATTAATATTAGTATCAATATCAGTATTAGTATTAGTTTTAGTATTAATTTTAGTATTATATTGATATTAGTATAAATAATAGTATAATTAGTATTAGTATTAGTATTTTTAGTATTAGTACAAATATTTGTGTTAGTGTTAGTGCTACTGTTAGTGTTACGTGTTAGTGTTAGTGTTAGTGTTAGTATTAGTAGTAGTAGTATAATTAATATTTGTATATGATTAGAATTAAGTGTAATATTATAATTAACACTAGCATTAGGATTAGGATTACGGTTTTGATAATAATAAGGATTTGCATTAGGATTAAGAGTATGATTAACATTAGTATTATCATTAGCATTAGTATATTACGATTAATATGAAAATTATGATTAGTAGTAGGATTACGATTAATATTAGAATACTAACATATAAATATATTCTGATTAACATTAGTATATTAGGATAATCATTAGTATATTAGGATTAATACTGGAATTAGGATTAGTATTAGTAATAAAATTATAATTAGGATTAAAATTAGAATTCATATTAGTATTAGTATTCCTATCTGGATTAAGATTAGTATTAGGATTAAGATTATGATTAGTATTAGAATTCGAATTAGCATCAACATTAGGATTACGATTAGGATTAATATTAGCATTAGTATTTAGATTATGATTAGAATTAGAATTAACATTAAAATTAGGATTAGTATTAGAATTAATATTAGTATTAGCATTAACATTATCACTAGCATTAGCATATTTAGATTAGCATCAACATTAGGATTATGTTTATGATTAGCATAAGCATTAGCAGTAGAATTGGAATTACGATCAACATTAGTATATTAGCGGCTTAATTCCACTTTGCACCCTTGAAATTGAGTCTTTTGGCACTTTGCACCCTTGAAAACTAATAATAGCACTTTGCACTCTCAAAACACAATAAATTATTCACAATGCACCCTGAACTGAATAATGAAGGAAATTTTTTTTTATTGTTTTTTTTTTATCAGGGATTCAAAATAATACATAAATTATTATTTTCTTCAACCTCCAACCTAATTTCGAGCGCAAAAAGTGCGGGAAAAAAACACCTGATTATTGGAAAAAACTATATTCTCTTACAAAATAAACTAAAATAAAATTTTATCACTAAATTATTCGATTGATGGATTTTTTTTATTGTAACTGGTGGAAATATGAAGTAAAAATATTTGGAAAAAAAATATGATTTTCAGATAACTTGATAACGAAATAGATGAAGGATTCTTTTTTTCGTAAAATATTTTATTGGGATAAAAAATATATTTTTTAAATAAGTTGATGAGATGTATTTTTATTTATGCACTTTATAGTTTCAAAATGATTGATGAATAAAAAAAATTATTTGACATTTGTCATCCTAAAAACTACCACTACAAATATTAAATTACATTTATTAGCTTTAAACATTCATTTGGGATGCATTATGCATGATTTTGTTATGTTTCGAGGGTGCAAAGTACTATTAATTTATTTCGAGGGCGCAAAGTGCCAAAATGGCATATTTCAAGGGTGCAAAGTGGGATTAAGCCGCATATTAGCATTAGCATATTAGAATTAGAATTAGAATTAGAATTAGCATTATCATATAAGTATTAATATTAGTATTAGTATTAGCGTTAGCTTTAGGATTAACATTAGCATTAGGTACATTAGGATTTTACTATTAGTATGAATATTAGTATTATGATTAGCATTATGACTAGAATCAGTAGAATTAGTATTAATATTAGCATTATAATTAGAATTAGGATTCGGATTAGGATTAGCATTAACATTAGCATAATATAATTAGTATTAAGATTAGCGTTAGCATTAGCATATGTGTATTTTTAGGATAAGAACTATGATTAGTATTATTATTATGAATAGAATTAGCATTAAAATTAAGATTAACATTATGATTAGGACTATAATTATGATTAGGATTAAGATTATGATTATAATTATGATTAGAATTAATATTATGATTGTAATTTTGGTTATGATTAGCATTAGCATTAGTGTTAGGGTTAGGATTACGATTAACATTAGAAGTAGAAGTAGAATTAACATTAATATATTAGCATTAGCGTATTAAGATTAATGTGAATAATAGCATATTAGGATTGACATTAGTATTAATGTATTTGGATTAGGATTAGCAATAACACTACTAGCATTAGGATTATGATTAAGATTATAATTGATATTGACAATGGTATTAGCATTAACATTAGCATATTAGGATTATCAGTAGCATTAGTATTACTAATAATAATAGTATTATTATCAGATTAGTATTAATATTTGTAAAGGTAAAGGTAATGGTAATGGTAATGGTAATGATATTGGTTTTGGCATTGCTATTTTTTTTGCTATTGGTTTTAGTATTAGTACATTAGTATTGGCATTAGTACATTAATATTAGCATTAACGTATTAACATTAGTAGTAGTATTAATATTAGTATTAGTATTAGTATTAATATTAGTGTTAGTATTAGTATTAGTATTAGTATTAGTATGAGGAATATGATTAAGATTAATACTAATAAAACAATTGGTATTGATATTTGTATTGGTATTAGTATTCGTTTTGGTATTGATATTTGTATTGATATTGGTTTTAGTATCAGTACATTAGTACATTAATATTAGCATTAAAGTATTAGTATTGGTAGTAGCATTAGTATTAGTATTAGTATTAGTATTAGTATTAGTATTAGTATTAGTATTAGTATAAGTATTAGTATAAGTATTTGTAATAGTATTAGTATTAGTATTAATATTAATATTAATATTAGTATTAGTATGATGATTATGACTAAGACTAATACTAATAAAACAATTTTGAAATTGAAATTTTTGATGATATGCTTATCCGTGATTCTGCAGATCCATTTTTTGATCTTATAGAGTTTGTTCACCTGGATATGGTGAGCAACCTGTTCAATCCTGAGTACTTTGAGGCCATAACAATTATTGCATCGGCTAATGAAAGTGTCGGTTTTGTGAATGATCATTTTTTGTCGATCATAACTGGAGAAGAGAAGGTTTATTTGAATTCCGATAGTGTGTACAATGAGGAGTTAATATCATAGATCCGAGTTCCTCAACACCATATCGTGCTCCAGAATTCCACCTAGGTTGCATTGAAAAGATGTATTCCCTTTATGCTCATCAAAAATATTGATCATGCTAGAGGATCGTGCAGTGGAACTAGACTTCAGGTTATTAATATGGGAAAACACGTTCTCAAATGCAAGACACTACCCGATAAACATGTTGACCATATAGTGTACGTTCATTGCTCAAATGATATTGGTACCGTCCAACTCTACATCGCCTATTAAATTTTAGCAACGTCAGTCTTCGGCGATGGTTTCCTTTGCAATAACAATCAATAAAAGTTAAAGACAAACTCTTTCCCATGTAGTATTGCACTTGCTCAGACATGTTTTCAGTCATGGACAACTCTATGTCGCACTCTCGAGAGTTAATAGTTGAAGTGGCATATGGATTTTGATCACGTCGGAATCTGGCGATACAACCAACTACAAATAATGTGGTACAAGGATGTTTTTCGGCATATATGAAGGTAACTATATAAAATCTCATACAATTTTACATAATGACCTTTATTTTGTATAACTTATATGTTTTGGCATTCCTCATTCGTAGGTTAATTTGCATTGTACTAGGAACTTGCTACGGGCTCCACTCAATATTTTTATCAAGGTAATTTATTGTAGAATGATTTTATGTCATTAAATATTTATATTTGTATTATTTTGGTACCATTTTACTTATTTTGTATAATCATTGTACAAAATAGCAGGTCAATTGCATTGTATTGGATTCGTTACATGCGTTTAGGGATATTGTAGCTGAGACACGCTCATATAAGCTTCAACGAATCAGTGAGCTCCATCCTCTTTACTTGCCTCTACAGTATCCTCTTTTATTTCCTTACAGGGAAGATGATTATCGAGACGATATCTGTTTGAGAGAATCTTCGCTTGCTGATAATAGAAAATGGAGAAAGGTAAGCATGCGAGAGTTCTTTGCATATCTAATCCAGAAACGGCGTTGATAACATTTGTTACTTTTGCATTTCAAGAAGTTATTTCAGCAGTTCTGTGTTGATGTATTTTCGATGGTAGAGTCACAGAGGTTGAATTTCATAAGTTTCAATCAAGATCAACTTAGGGTTGACATGTACAAGGGTATCGAAGAAAATATTTTTAAAGGAGACACTGAGGATAAATCAATTGGACAACGCATTATAATTCCAAGGTCATTCACCGCAGGTCCAAGGTATATGTTTAACAACTTCGTTGATGCTCTTCAAATATGTAACTGGATTGGATCTCCAACCCTCTTCATTGCCATCACATGCAATCCTCAATGGCCAGAAATACAAAGGGTGTTGAAAGATACAAATCTCAGGCCGGAGGATCGGCCAGACATTCTTTGTCGTGTGTTCAAGATGAAGCTCAATGGTATGATGACAGAAATCAAGAAAGGTTGTATATTCAGACGTATTACAGCATGTAAGTATTTAATTAGATCTCAGTTTATAATTATACATTAACTTCATTCATATAAATTAAAGAATTTGCTCATGTGTGAGTTTAACTACTTATTGCTTCCTTAACTAAATTAATGCATATTTTTTTAATACCATATGTTTATATTTTCTATGCAGATGTATGCTTAATTGAATTTCAGAAACGAGGTCTACCGCATGCACATATTTTATTGTAGTTTCATAATGACGATAAGCCCAATAACCCAGAAGAAATTGATAGGATCATATGTGCTGAAAATCCTGACGAAGTAAACGACCGAAAGATGTACCAGTTGGTGGAGAAGTATATGATACATGGACCGTGCGGTCAGGCGAATTTGAAATCTCCCTGTATGAAGGATCGAGTTTGCACGAAGCGATTTCCAAAGCCATTTGTGCAGCGCACTGAATCAGATGCAGATGGTTTTACCGTGTACATGAGAATTGAAGATGGCAGAACAGTTACAAAGAAGAAGACTACTCTTGACAATGGGTTTGTAGTCCCGTACAATCGTATATTGTTGAGTAAATACAGATCTCACATTAATATCGAGTTATGCAACCAGAACAAGTCAATCAAATACATGTTCAAATACGTAAACAAGGGGCATGGCCGAGTTACGGCGGCATTTAATGAAACACGCAATACAGATGGCGGTGCTGAGATTTGTGATGAGATAAAGATGTACTACGACTGCAGATATCTTTCGGCATGTGAGGCAATGTGGAGGTTTGCGAACTTGGGTTAAAAGATGATTCTCGAACTTGGGCGCCAAGAAAAAAAGGATTTTCAATTGGTAGGCTTGCGAATGTCCCCCCTCGAAAGGGGAAAGACTAATACCTTAGATTGCTACTTAACATTCAGAGGGGATATACGTGCTACGAGGACATCAGAAAAGTTTTTGACACCGTCTACCCTACGTTCAGGGATGCATGTTATGTGTTGGGTTTATTAGATAACGACAAAGAATACATATATTCAATAATAGAAGTGAATACTTGGGCACCGATGGATTATATAAGAAGGTTATTTGTAGTTATGCTTCTTTCCAATAGCTTAAGTCGGCCCGAACATGTTTGACAAAGTTGTTGGTTGGATTTGTCTGAGGGTATTGCTTATAAACAACAAAGTCTTCATAATAATCCAGGTATGGCAATTTGTATAACACATTATTCAATTAGATTTTAAATATTACTCATCCTTTTAATATTGTCGTTTTGAACTAAATGCACAAAATTTATCCATTTTTTTTTTTGAAAATTTACATATATCGGATGAAAGCTTGAAGAACTATACTCTCACCGAAATAGAAAAAATATTGCAAAGCAATGGTAAAAGCTTGCGAAATTACGCGCCCATGCCAGTTCCAATCGAATTCTCAGCGGATGACACAGTAAACATATTGGTGTTAGATGAACTGGATTACAACCGGTTTGTAATAGGTAGGGAACTTCAACGGTGTCTTGCTTTAATTACAGACGTGCAAACAAAGGTTTATGATGTAGTCATGGATGTTGTATCCAATGACCGTGGTGGAATGTTCTTTCTATATGGCCATGGTGAAACGGGAAAGACGTTTCTATGGTAAACTATTTCGGCTGCAGTTCGTTCCAAGGGAGAGATTGTAATTAACGTTGCATCGAGAGGTATAGCATCGTTATTGCTCCCCGGTGGAAGAACAACTCATTCTCGATTCGGACTACCCATAAATGTACACGAGAGTTCCACCTGTAGCATATCGCAACAAAGTCCACAGGCGGAGTTGTTCATAAGGACAAAGCTTATTATATGGAACGAGGCTCCTATGATGCATAGATACTGTTTTGAAGCGCTTGACATGACAATGAAGTCAATATTACAGGTTGACAAACTCTTTGGTGGAAAGGTGGTTGTTTTTAGAGGAGATTTTAGGCAGATTTTACCAGTTGTGCCCAAAGCATCAAGGCAGGACATAGTACATGCTACGATAAACTCCTCTTCGCTGTGGAATTTCTGTTGTGTCATGAAGTTGACTAAGAACATGAGATTGCAGTCATGCTCTTCTCCATCTAACGTGGATGAGGTAAAAGAATTTGGAGACTAGATACTGAAGGTTGGTAGTGAGGATGTTGGGGAACAAAATCATGGTGAAGCTTCGATAGTGATTCCCGATGACATGTTGATTGGTGATTCAGAAGATCCATTCAGAAACCTACTGGAATTCGTTTACCCGGATTGTTGAGTAACATATATGATCCAGATTATTTTCAAGGGAGAGCAATTCTTGCACCAACTAATGAATGCGTCGAGTTTGTGAACGATCACTTAATGTCTCTCCTTCCAGGAGATGAGAAGGTGTACCTGAGTTCAGATAGTATGTTTAGGGACGAGCAAACAATGGAGGATAATGCAGAAATTTATTCGACTGAATTCCTCAACACAATAAGATGCTCCGAACTTCGTTCTCATGCGTTGAAGTTCAAGATTGGTGCACCCGTTATGCTAATAAAAAACATCGATCAAGCTAAAGGATTGTGTAACGGGACCAAACTTCAAATTATTAGAACTAGCATTCACGTTCTGAGTTGCAAAACTCTTTCCAGAAAAAATATCGGTGACATGGTGTACATGTTCATTCCTCGGATGACTTTAATACCATCTACCGGACTGCCAATTAAATTTCAGAGAAGACAGTTTCCGTTGATTGTTTCTTTTGCAATGACGATCAATAAAAGCCAAGGTCAAACTCTTTCGCATGTTGGTTTGTATCTTCCTAAGCATGTCTTCAGCCATGATCAACTATATGTTGCACTGTCCAGAGTTACGAGCAGAGGTGGCATTAAGATATTCATCAAGTTGGATTCGAGTGAACTCACCAATGTTACTCGAAATGTCGTGTACAAGGAAGTATTTCATCGAATTTGAAGGTAGAGAATATTTTCATATTTACCAATTATTCATGTAACATGCCTTTTTTTTAACAACTTATTCTTTGGCAGGTGTTTCTTCTCTATATAATTTCCCCCGTGCGATGTTATTTTCAATCATATCCCTAGGATGCTCAGTGCAAATTTTATTATCTTTAAGATTTATTTTTGACGATATACTAATATTTTAATATTATTCTTATGATGTAACTATGAAGAACATGATGCTTCAATATTGCTGGTCGCGTTTTATATTTAAATTCAATGAGCGTAATAATTTATATATGCGTAAATTTATTTTTCAGACATGTATTTCCAGTTGAAAATATGCCACCCCATGCATCGCACGGGTGAATACTAGTATACATATCAGATTATATATCCTACCGACACTTTGATCCTTATTTGTGTACATTTAATTCTATACATAAGTGTATATTTTTTAAATTTCGACGACTTAAGGAAAATAGGGAAGGGAGGACTCGGACCCTAGACCGTTACTCTATTGATAAAAGTTAGATACCAACCCTCCTAATGAGGGTTGATATTAATTATTTGGTTTGATAATGATTGTTTGGGAAGGCTTGAATTATTCCTGTATATGGCGGGTTAACTAAATGGTTCTTGGTCGGGTTACGGGTCTTATTGGAACTGACCCAGCAGAACCGACACGTGTGTCTAAATATATATATATATATATATATATATATATATATATATATATATATATATATATATATATATATATATATATATATATATATATATATATATATATATATATATATATATATATATATATATATATATATATATATATATATATATATATATATATATATATATATATATATATATATATATATATGATGCTAAAGTTTAGATCACTTGGGGTAGTGTAGAAAATGAACTGGGAAAGCAAAGCGGATCAGTAGCTTGACAACTTGATGATCCTGAGGTACCTGCGATCATAGAACACGTGAACTAGGCCGGGGGTTGATCCGGCGGAAGCCCCTCCGACGCTCAAGTCAGACGTGCTGATAGTGGAAATAGTCCAGAGAATACATGTGTAGTATTGCTCAGTTTATAGGACGTACCTTGAGGAATGAGTTCAAACCTTTATTTATAGCTTAAATGAGATTGTTGGGCCCAAACCTTATTTGAAGGTGATTGGGCCTCGGTGATTGTGGTCTTCGATATTGGGCTCGTGGCCCAGTATGTAAGGAAATTGTAGGCCCATTGGGTCGGCCCAATTAGGCATATCATTAAGCCCCCCACTCTCGAGTCGATGTGGGGGCCATGTTGAAATGGGTGATAGATCGTGTCGAGAGTAAAAAATGTAGAAGTCGATCGTTGGCGTATGGCCTAATAGTGTGCGAAAACTCGTTGGAGCCTGTGTCGGAGGGGCGTGAATGCGCGTTGGCGCGTAGCGCGACCAAGTTGTCGCGATGTAAGTTACTTGAGTCGTCGGTGTTGTCCCGCGACGATGTAGTAGCGAATTATATCCTCGTGGGAGTTGTCTCGTCGCGGGGTAATAGAGTTGATCGAGTTATCTCCTCGTGGGAGTTGTCTCGCGATAATGTGGTAGCACGGATCAAGTAATCGCCTCGTGGGAGTTGTCTCGTAATGGGGTAATAGAGTTGATCGAGTTTGCTCCTCATGGGAGTTGTCTCGCGATAATGTAGTAGCACGGAGCTAGTATTCTCCTCGTGGGAATTGTTATTTATCGACATTGTCAATGTTTTGACGCGTTGCTTGTATGTGTTTACATAAAGCCTTGTACGTGATGTACTTGAGGAGGGGATCAGGCTCTCAAGAGTTTTTTATGGGGATTGTGCCCCTTGTTAGACCTCGTGGGTCGTAAGTATGTTTGGACCGTGGCCACGTGCCCGCTAGTTTTGACCCAACCCCTTGCCAGTTTCCCTTGGGTTGGGGAGGTTAAAGAGTCCAAGATTTAGCCCAAATAGGGTTAGGCCCAAGTTGGCCCAAATGTATAGAGGTAGGTAGAGGTAGGTGGTGGTAGGTAGAGACATTTTAGGGATTCTTTGGAGTGTTCCACTCCCAACCGTTAGATCATATCGATCTCCACCGTCCATTGAGGAGGTGGTCTTGTATAAATAGAGGTAGGGTCCTCATTTGTAATCATCCAACAAAAATCCAAGAAAATCCAAGCAATCCAACAAGCACTCAAGTAATAGAGTACTTTCTTACCAACTCTCTTATCTTCTTATTTTATTTCTTCGTTTTCCATCACTTAAGTATTCGCAACACATTCGGGAGAGGTTGACTTAGCTATCAAAATGATGATGCTAAAGTTTAGATCACCTGGGGTAGTGTAGAAAATGAACTGGGAGAGCAAAGCGGATCAGTAGCTTGACAACTTGATGATCCTGAGGTACCTGCGATCATAAAACACGTGCTGATAGTGGAAATAGTCCAGAGAATACATGTGTAGTATTGCTCAGTTTATAGGACGTACCCTGATGAATGAGTTCAAACCTTTATTAATAGCTTAAATGAGATTGTTGGGCCCAAACCTTATTTGAAGGTGATTGGGCATCGGTGACTGTGGTCTTCGATATTGGGCTCGTGGCCCAGTATGTAAGGAAATTTTAGGCCCATTGGGTCGGCCCAATTAGGCATATCAATATATATATATATATATATATAACCCACGATTTCGGATTTTATTTATCTAACTATCAATTTCCATCTTGTCTATTTTCATTTACCTATTTTCACCGTTTTATTTTTTGATTCTCATTTCTCGTGAGTAATATTTATCACATGTCAACCACCGCTAATTGTCTTGCATTTTGAATTTTACTTATTATCGAAGTTAAATATAATTGATTAAGTAATTTTAATGTTCATGTTATACAACTTGTAGAGAATTTTTAAAATTTTAGTATTGAGATTATTTCGTAAAAATACAAGCCAAATGTTATGAAATTTAAAAAATATCAAACTTTTTGTATGTTAATGGGTCTAGCGGGTCTAGCGGATCAGAACTGTTTAGTTATGGTCTGAGTTGGGGTGAGTTTGGGTCTAAGCTAAAACAAGTTGGAGCGAATCTGAAGTTTATATATTTTTCGTGGATCGAATCTTAAATGTAAGCAAAAACCCAGTCCAAAACCAATCCACTGCCATCCCTACAAACAAAATATCCAATATTGTGTTAGGTTCATATCATTGCACATTGGGTCATAATCTTCAACAAAATTAATCACCATAACTTTTTCTTTTCGCTCAGATCTTTTTTTATAATTGAATAATTCAAAACGGGGCCCTCATCTACCAGTTTTTTTTCACAATTGTGATGGTATTAGCTCTTGGGGCTGGTTCGATACGATGACAAATCAAAAACATTATTCGAGGGTATTTGAAATTGAATATACTAAAAAGAAGATATAGATAACTTTTGATAAAAAATGATGGACTAAAAGATTACACGGATGCGGGAGCAATGCCTCCGAAATGTTGTTTTAGATGTATCAACATAAAAAACATAAAATAACACAAAATATATAAAAATTTCAATTAACATGATGATTTGGTGGTTCACTTCCTCCGTGACGTTTAATGTCTATCGCAAATATATTTCATAATTTATAAAAAGAAACTTGAATGAAATAATGAATAAAAAAAGTAACCAGGACATTATGGATTTTATATTTAGGGGCCTCAAGGTTAAAAAAATTGTAAATATAACTAAAAATAATCATTGTTTTTAAATTTATTTTAGAATTGCTGTTCCAAAATATTAAATATTACAAATTAAAAAAAAAAACTAAATACCAGTATATAAAGTGTATATAAAAATATAGTGAGCTCCTAAACTTTCGTAAAAATCCGAGAACCCTAGGTGATTGCTTACTTCGCCACCCTCAGAACCGGCCCAGCTGTGCGCCTTTCATATATAATACAAATTGACATTATATATATGGCAATTGGCAAATGCTTTAATTGGAATATTTTTTTCTTATTATTAATTTTTCATCTACATAATATATAAAAGTTGAATTCCACACCTAATTGATTGACATTTGGCAATTTTAATCGGTGACAAGTCCTCAATTTTATCTTAAGTGGCGAATTGATTGGTGGAAATAAATCATAAAAAAACATGTCATCATTTTCCAAAATTAAAGATAATTAAATATATTTAATTATTTTATTAATATATTTATATCCTACCATTTATAAAATACTCTAAATATATCAACTTTGTTGGAAACTCTAAATAAATTTAATTTTGAATTTAATTTTATAATTAATTTAATTTAATTTAGTTAAATTTAATTTAAAATATTCCCTTATTATAATTGCATAATTGGTGGTATTACAGAAATTTTGTGTTTTAATTCATAAACCTGGATTTATATTAACAAAATATTGCAGAATAAATTATTTGATATGGTACATTTTACATGAACATGACGAGAGAATATGTTTTTTTAACTAATTTAATATTATATATTGATATTATCTGTAAAAACAAAAAAAGATAAATGTTCGAATTTATAATATTGCGAAAATCGACACTATGGGTTTCTACCATGTGTAGAGTAATATACTCCCCATTATTTACCATATTAGAAATTACACTACATGAATTTCATGTTATTGTTTAATCAGTTATTTTTTCTTCACCGAATATAGTGACAATAAATTTTACGATTGATTTAGCTTTTTAAATTATATACTAATTAAAATAAAAACTTTATCATGATTATTCTAACAACTTGCATAACATAAGTTAAGTTTAATCAATTGATAAAAAAACGAATTGATTTTATATATTTCAAAATATAACAATGTTATTCTAATTCTTTGGTATTAAATTCCTTTATTCACTCTATTTCAAACCAAACATTAATAATATCAAATCTTTTGGTTAAAATGTATAATGATCGTATATACTATATATTCTATGTATTTAGAATATCTACTAATTTTTATTTTTCCATTTTTTATTTATATAAGCATTTTATAGTG